CAAGGTCCATTTAACAAATCAACCATTTTGACAGGTGATATCATCTGGAAACACATAAGAGGACTTCAGGATGGCATTTTAAGTTGGCATTACTTAATGTAAAAGAATAAAGGATAACGGCGTCTAAAATCAAGTTTGACTCTGATATTCCTTTATAAGTTGGCATTTCACATAGAGCATAATTAAAAGGCCATGTCCATGATGCAATTATAAGGTGATGTATCAAAACAAAAACATTTGTTTTTGTCGCTATTATTTTCCTTATAATATTTCAAATGATTGTCAACACTACACATCGAATTCAAGTAGAAATTACCCACTTTGACAGTTAATCGAGGCATCAGCTGTGCTAAATGGACTACATATTCATTGTGCCATGGCCAGGTCTGAATCCTCGTATGTGTTTCCGCCTTTAGACCCCTGTAATCTTTTAAAGCGTCCATTGTGTTTGTAGGCAGATTTGTATTTTTCCATAAATCTATGAAAACAAATATTTTAAATAAGCAAATAAGCCCGTTGATTGGACGTTATGCCTACGAATTTGAATTGTTTGCATTTTAAATTTACACACCAATCTAATAAATATTTACTATTCCAATATTTCAATTATAATTTTCTCTTATTTCTTCATAAGTTTTCTTCTTAACCAAATTAAAGATTCTAATTTAAAATGACTTCGTCCAAAATTTGTTGTTCTTTCCCCGTTTAAGAAATCGCTTATAAAATTTACGTTTATTACCCTTGGGCGATAATAAACCACATTCAATTATTATGGCATTAAGCGACAGCAGCAACAACAACAAAACAAATAAATAAAAACAATAACAAAATAACAAAAAATATAAACACACACCTTGCATGAAAATCGTTAATATGTACTATTGATAATGGAAACAATTCCGATTTAGGAACATTTTGCTGGGCACTGACGTTTAAATAGCCAGCCAAGAAAACGGCCACGAACAACAAAAAGAGTTTCTTCATACTTGAGGTAACGTCGTTGTTGTTGTTATAATTCAATAACGCGGAGCACCAAAAATAATAAAAAAATTAAAAACTAAAAACAAAACGCGAACACTACAACTTTGCCATTTACCGATTATGCGATCAGATTGTTGTTTAACCGCGCGCTATATGCGCTGACAATTGACTGAACTGAACTAAAATCCGCAGAGCTTACTGCTACAATAGTTAGTATTTTGTTTACACCGATTTTAATTCAATAATAATTCAATTAGCAAAAGCAGCGAAGAGATCGGTGATCGTGTCGTTATTTTTTGAATTTTCTCTTTGCACTCAGTGCTCTCACTCTCACAAGTGTGCGGCCAATGCCATTTAACTGAGATATATTTTGCACGAATGCATTTTCTGTAGATTTGCGGAGTTATCGTTTGACGAGGTTGCTAAGAGGTTGGTTTTTAAAGATACTGTGGAACGGTAGGTCTTAAAAAAATAAATAAAATCAAAAACCTGTTATGTAGATGCAATTGCCAAAAAATATGTTAAAGTAAAGTAAAAATTGTTTATCACATTAAAAAATTGTATATTTTTTCATGTTCTTGGAACAGACATAAAATGAAGAAAGTTTTAATAGAAAACTGGATATTATGAATGAAAAGAGATCTATCATTGAATTTATCGAGTACTACCAGTCGTTCCCATTCCTTTGGAACATATTCACAAAGGAATGTCGGGATAGGGACCGGAAGCCAATGCTGAAGAGATGAAAAAGAAAATCAACACCCTAAAAATTAATTACAGCAGAGGATTGCGAAGGATTGCTGATCTAAAGAGAAGTGAAATGAAAAAAAAAACTGCAACCAACTTCAGACTGCTATCATTTCTAAGCCACTCGTCCGACAGCTATTGAAATACAATCGTACAAAAGCTTTTTGGTGAGAATTTTCCAGAAAAAAAGTTATTTGTGATGGAATTCAAGCCGGGAATGGGCCAAAATACCGCAGAGCAACATTCGGGCAGCGTGTGATGGTTTAATTGGCCGTTTGAAGGCCATAATTAGTGCCAAAGGTGACCTATTCCAACAAATCTAAACTTATTCTAAAAGTTAATGCTATTTCCGACATTCTTTGCTTTTATTCAATACAATTTAAAAAAAAAAAATTAAAAATTATAGCGTTTGACTCTGTTGCATTTTTTTCTATCTCCCCCTGTATTATTGTAACTAGATTAAATGAACATCTCCAAAAAAGCGATATCAGTTCATCTGAAGAAGATGAACTGATATCGCTTGCAAAAAATGAATTAGCGAAGCAATCACACGATGGGGATAGATTTGGGGAAATAGTGACAACAAAATTAAGTGAAATAGAACTCCAACACATGGTGTTGGCCGAGAAAGCCGTTAACGATGTGTTATTTGAAGGGATGTAAGGCAATCTAACACGAAGTATGATTTCAACGCAATCGATAGGAGCCTCATATTCAAGAAGTAAGGTAACTGTTACCAACCCGACACACTATTCAGATTCAATCTCTTCCATATGCTGTGCTAATGTTTTTCAAGTTTTAAATAATATGAATTACAAATTTTTAATGGTCAACATAGATCGGATATGTTGACAGTATATCGAAGAGGAGTAGTTGACCTTTAAATTGATACTAAATATATTGTGGTTTTTATACGTATACGTATATTCTGATATTGTCTAGTATTACTATTACCGCACTAGAGAGTGGAAATATCCCGCTGATCGCTATGAAATTGTACATGAAGTTCCTGTCAAGGACGACGTTAATAATTTTCGGTTATGATCAGATGATAATTAGAGTATGAAATGAACGAAAAACTATATAGCTATATAGACCACAATTATAAGCCCGAGCTAATTAGATAAATTTCCGTCAATATTTAGAGGGTAAAATGATCCAACATTTTTATGTGTAATATAAACAAATGGGATGATATATACCAAGCAACGGCTCTGATTGGCTTTAACATGGCAAAGCCCAGGCTTATCTTGGTCCCGCTTTTATTTGCCGCGAGTTCACCCATAAGAACTATAAAAAAATGGGTTGAGGCAATGGGTTTGTTGCCCACACTCGAAAACCCCTCCTACTAAAAACACAACAGATTGCAGAAGCCTACTACGCTCAACTTATCCGCCTGCTTGAAGAAAGCACTTCTTGTCCTGATAGGTAGATGGCAATTCTTTGCCATTGTGCAAAGACCTACCTGTAAACTGCAATAAAAGCAACACTTGGGTACCAAATACCACAATCAATTACCGTGGTATGATCAGAAGTGTCGTAATGCTACTGATATGAAGAACCCTGCAGACAGTAGCAACATGCGATGGAGAATTATCGGGAGAAAAGGAGAGAGGAGAAACGCATTTTCAGAAAAAAGAAGAAAGAACAAGAAAAACGTGAGCAAATCGAGATGTACAGAAGTCATAATAAAATCGGGAAATTTTACCAACGAGTAAAACACCAAACCGAAGGCTTTGACGCAGGCACATCCTCCTTTAGAGATGAAGATGGAAACCTGGTGACAGATACAGATAGCATGTTGAGGATCTGGAAGGAGCATTTTCCAAAGCTTCTGGTATCAAATAGTGGCGGTGAAGAAGATATCCCACAACCAATAAGAGATGACGGTATAGAATGTATACCACTTAGCCAAGATGAGGTCATAATATCAATTAATCGGCTGAAGAACAATAAAGCAGCCGGAGCCCATGGGTTACCAGCCGATCTACTCAAGACCGGAAGTTAGATACTGGTCAGGAGCATGTACCAGCTGATTAGTGCAATTTGGCAAGAGAAATGCATGCCCAATGATTGGAACCTCAGCATCCTGTGTCCTGTGCACAAAAAAGGAGACAAGACGATATGCGCCAACTATTGTGGAATATGTCTCCTTCCCATCGCATATAAAGTGTTATCCAGCGTGCTGTGTGAACGACTGAAGCCAATGGCCAATGACATTATTGGACCAGCCGCATTGAGCTTCAGACATGGCAAATCCACCTTAGAACATATTTTCACAATGCGCCAAATACTGTAAAAGACCCACGAAAAAATCATCGACGCATTTCACCTATTCGTTGACTATAAAGCCGAATTCGACAGTTCCATCCGTTCTGAGGTGTTTAAAGCCATGTCTACGTTCGGCATTCCTGCAAACTTAATACGGCTCTACATGATAACTTTTACCGGCACATGGTCAGCAGATAAAGTCGGCAAGGACCTATCGTAGCCCTTCAATACCGAACTAGGATTCAGACAAGGTGACAGTTTGTCGTGTGACCTGTTCAACATCCAGCTTGAAAAGGTCATACTAGATGCAAATGTGAACAGAAATGGCACTCTGTACATCAAACAACACATGTTTCTCGCCTACACCGATGATTATCGATATAATGGGTCGAACATTGCGAGCGGTAACACCCACCTTTGTACGAATTGAGAAGTAGTCTGTCAAAGTGGAACTGGCAGTAAATGGCGAGAAGACCAAGCTGATGGTATCAACGCGCAAGACGTCCAATAGTAAGATTTTATAGGTAGTTAAAGATTTTGAGTATCGGCGTCGAATGAACCACGAGCTTTACAATCTATACGCGGATATCGACATAGTCAGTCGTATTGAGCTGCAGCGACTACGGTGGATAGGTCATGTTGTGCGAATGGATGAGAATGCCCCAGCTTAAAAGGCATACAAAAGCGAGCCTACTGATGGTTCGCGCAGAAGGGGAAGGCCACGAATTAGATGGAAAGATCAAGTGGATGACAACATTGCAGAAAATGGCTTTTCAAATTGGAAAAACTGCGCAAGACGTTCCTGGATATATTTTTAAGCTCGGCTTATGGAACAAGCCAGCTATGTAAGTAAGTAGAAAACTACAGTATATAGGGTTTACGTATTAGTAGGCCCTTAAATCTTACCCCTATTAAAATAAATATCTTAAAAAATCGGCATCTAATACTGTTGAATTATTTTATTAAAATAAAAATTTGGCTAAATTTCATTACATTCGGATTTACACAACCTTAATGCGACCTTCAATGCCGCTGTAAATGGGTGTGACATTTTCTGTGTAACCCAACAAGGCATCCAAATCGGTGATGTAGGGTCTGTAAAGTAATTAAAAAAACATATCAGTTAAAAAATAATTCCCTCAAAACAACCACCAACAACTCACTGGACATTGGTACCATAGTCACGGAACATATGGAAACCATCACCACCATCCTGTAAGAAATTGGGCGCCACAATACGATATGTGGCCGTGGCATTAAATGGTTCATACTTCGGCACCGAACAAGAGGAACAACGAACTTTTAAATTGACAACACGTTGATTTACAGGTTTCTTGAAGTCATAGGTAATCTTCAGACCCGAAGCTTGTAGGAAAATGTGGGAACTGGTAACACCATTGTCGTAATCAATGTTACTAACAGCAAATTCCAGGGCTTCCAAAAGTTTATCCCCAGGCAAATCGAAGGCTGTTAAGATGTTTTCAAATGGTGACATTGTAACAATGTGGGAGTAGGTGAGGTCTAAAGGGAGAGAGAAGGGAGGGGTACGAATAAATATTGTGAAATTTATAATTATATTCCAAAAACCTACTTCCTTTGTAGAGAGGAACTCTCAAGGCTCCAGTATTGACCAAACCAATGGGTACGGTTGTCCACTCTGGTTTTTCATAGGGTGCCAAATTCAAAAACTACAAGAAAAAAAAACATTGTTAAGTCGGGGTATAAATTTGTAGATGTTATTTCCATTACCGCATGAACCATGGCATCTGTGAAATAGTTACCCAGGTTACATTCCTGATAACTGCAAGGAGCTTTCAGAAGGTCCACCACGGTTTCTCCAACGACAACCTTTCCTTGGGCATCAACAATTTCCCGCCAGGGTTTCATGGCTTCAACAACCTCGGGATCTGCAAAAAGAAGTATCAATTATGATTAAGGAGGGTCTAAAAATTAAAGTACGATTATGGGTCATAAAATCGTAGTGACGCTTATTCGAAGTCTGCTCAAAGTCGGAGTGTCTGTTAGGTTTTCTCCGAGGATAATAAACCTCCTGGCAGACGATTCCAACTTATTTTTTATTATTTTGAATGCGCTTCCCATGACGGAGGTTATGAAAAGTTTTGGCCCTGCCTAGGGGCTTAACGACCTCTTTTCTCTTTTTTTTTTTAGTTTAAGTTTCTTTCCCTTACCTTCAGGTACATCAGGTCCCATATAAAGTGGCGCCCCTTCAAAGTCCACAATATCACCATTGTTGTCAAAGAACACTGTCAAATTACCAACATATTTGGCGTAGGCTCCGGCCTGGACAATTAAAACACGATGACCGGAAGCATGGGTAACTTGTGTGGGATAATCACCACGTGGCTTGTCAGGACCCGGAGGTGTGTCACCAGTATACAAAAACGTGTGAGAATGAGAACCGACAATCACATCAACCTCCGAACCGGCATTTTCGGCAATCAATTTATCCACATCATAACCGCAGTGAGAGATGACAATAATAATGTTCGCCCCCTCGGCCTTTAGTTTTTGGGCCTCCTCAACTATGGTGTCACTTTCATTGCGGAATATCAAATTACCGGTGTTGGCAAGATCCTGTAAATATATTTCAAGATTCTTATAACCATAATTTATTTCATATTCCAAAACCTACATAGGTTGTTTCCAAAATCACACCAATAACACCAATTTTCCGACCATTTCTCACAATAATCGTAGAGTTTTGATAGGTTCCCTGCAATGAAGGTTCATTGGTGGCATCCATATTGGCCACCAACATGGGACTTTCTAAGGATTGAATAAATGGCACCACACCCTCAACACCATGATCGAATTCATGATTACCCAAAGTCTGAAGAACAAAAAGAAATCCATATTAAAACACCTTTAAATACATAGCCTGAAAATCTCCTTACCATAGCATCAGCTGGCAACATATTCAAAAATTGACTGGTAACATTCCAGCGACCAATATTATACCACAAAGTACCCTGGAAACTATCACCGGCATTAAAGTACACAGCATTATTTTCCTTTTGCTCCTCAAGTAGCTTTTTCACCGTAAACACTGTGCGAGCATAGCCACCAATACAAATCTCATCGGCATCACAATTACCGCCAGTCGTATCGGTAGGTTCAAATCTGTGAAATAAATAACAAAGTTTTGGAGCTGTATGATAAGTAATTCAAGGGGATAGGCTTCAAACTTTCGATGTATTGTGAAAAAGCTTTATGGTAAGATACGATAAGATACGTCTATTAGTAATTTATTTTTGTTATGATACACAACTTTAGGTGTTTCGCATTTCTTTCTTATTTAACTGAAATCCTTCTATTAGCTATAAATCTGGTTATTTTATCAATTCAAAAAACATTATCTTGATGTTAGTGTTAAATGTTAAATTGACATACGATACGAATAATGTGATTATAATTTAATCACATACTTAGGTATTCTCAAAACCTTGGGATTTGTATAAATCTTGAGTTATTTCTTTTAATCATAGAAAGGAAAAGATTTTCTATTATAGAGACTCATCCAAACTTTGGAGTCTAGATGATTCCTATTATGACAAATTTTCTACTCCGTTTTTTTATTAAAAACCCTGTGAGCGGATTGTATAATCGGACAGTGCCCGACCAGTCCTACATTCCGTGTGCAATATTTGCACTCGCTTTGTATTTTTTTTTTCTTGATTTAAAAGTTGTTATTCTGCACAAAAACGTTTTGTTTCATTTAACCCGTTAATATTGACCGATCTTAACCACGGACGGACACACATGTTTTGATCGACTCAATTAGTAGATGTATGATTGGTATAATAAAAGGTGGGTCTAGGACTAATATTTTGCGGCTTTGTAGTTCCATATATGCTCTAAACTTCTTAATACTACGTTTTTCTGTTCCGCCAACTTATAGTTGTGGAGTTTGATTGAGTTTCTTCGGCATAAGGACAATTAGAAATCCATCCAACTAAACTTCATAATACTACGTTTTTCTGTTCAGTCACCGAATAATTGTCGTGGGTTTAATTGTGTTTCTTTGACATAAAGGCAATTGGAAATTCTTCACCGAACGTATTTTTCTAACCGAATCCATCTCCGATTACTGTGAACTCATGTCCTTCCATATACTGTATAAACTTCTTATTATTTATCATTTCTGTTCGGTCACTGAATTGTTACTTAGGGTCGATTGAGTTTCTTTGACATAAAGGTAATTGGAAATTCTTCGCCGTACACATCTTTCTGACCGAATTCACCTCCAATGCTAGGTCAGTGATTACTGTGAACTCATGTCCTTCCACACATGCCCTATAATTCTTAAAACTAAGCATTCCTGTTCGGTCACCAAATGGTTACTTTGAGTTTGATTGGGTTTCTTTGACATAAAGGAAATTGGAAATTCTTTGACGTGCGTATCTTTCCCAACGAATGCACCTTCTGTACTGTGAACTCATGTATTTCCATATATGCTCTAAAGTTCTTAATACTACATTTTCCTATTCGGCCACCTTATAGTTACGTTGAATTTGTTGGAGTTTCTTTGGCATAAAGGCAATTAGAAATTGATCGCGTGTTTCTATTCGGTCACTTAATATTTGCCTTGGGTTTGTATTAAGTTTCTTCGACAAAAAAGCAATGGGAACTTCTTCACCGAACATATTTTTTTGACCGTATCCACCTCCTATACTAGGTCACTGTGAACTCATGTCCATCCACATATGCCCTAAACTTCTTAAAACTAAAAATAGTCACTTTAAATTTGATTGAGTTTCTTTCACATAAAGGTTATTGAAAATTCTTCACCGTGTATATCATTCTGAACGAATGTGCCTTCTATACTAGTTCAGTGATCACTGTGAACTTATATCCTTCCACATAGGGTCTAAACTACTTAATACTATTCGGTCACCGAATAGTAACTTTACATTTGATTGAGTTTCTTCGACATAAAGAAAATTTGAAGTTCTTCATCGTGCGTATCTTCCTGAATGAATGTAACTCCTATACCAGATCAGTGTCTTATGTCTTTCCACATATGGTCTAAAGATCTTAATATTAAGAATTCCTGTTCTTCCACCGTTCGTTTGTAAAGACAGTTGACCTTACGTATCTTTCGGAACCATGTCCATGAACTCATGTCCTCCTATGTATGGTCTAAAGTCACCGAATAGTTATAGTTTGGGATTTTCGCAGAGTTTTTCTTTCAGACCGAATGCACATCCTTTACTAGGTCAGAGATTACTGTGTACTACTGTCCTAAATATGGTCTAAATCTTTTAATACTAGACATGCCTTGTCGGCCACCGAATAGTTACGTTGGGTTTAATTGAGTTTCTTTGACATAAAGGCAATTGGAAATTCTTGCCGAGCGTATCTTTCTGAATGAATACACAACATATACTATTTCAGTGATCACTGTGAACTCATTTTCTTCTACACAGGGTCTAAACTTTTTAACACTAAGCACTTCTATACGAATTTTTACAGTTGAGTTTCTTTGACATAAAGGCAAAGGAAGTTTTTCGCCAAGTGTGTAGAATGCAGCTCCTTTTTTTTTGACAAGAAAATAATAGGAAATTCTACGCCGAGCGTACCTTTCCGTCAAATATACTAGTTCAGAGATCACTGTGAACTCATTTTCTTCCACATATGGTCTAAACTTAATACATTCACATTCAGAAACAATATAGTTTCAGTTTGGTTTTGACAGTTTTTGGGAAGTCTGCAATTTCTGACATATTCTCTGGGTCGGTAACAACCTCACCACTAGCAACAATATGTTCTAGTTACTTCTACCTCAATGTTCCTCTATGCTCTGGATCGTGATGTACATATATATCTTAAGAAGCCATTGGAAATGCTGGAATTTTAGGAAGCTCAGCTCAAATGCGGAAATAGTTTGTTAGGAAGCTATCGGACTAGTAATTCCGCTTTTAAATGTTATTTGAAGCAAATGTAGTCTTCGAGTTCATCCATCAGTTACACATTATAATATAGGAAAACTCCTTTATGTTTAGAGAATGATATTTATAGCGAAAACTATTTGGATAAAACATCGATTCAGTGTAAATATCGGCTATATAACTTCTGGTACCTCCTCCACAAACTGTCAAAATTTCGAAAAATAATAAACCATTTAAAATGTGAAATGAGTATCTCAGCCCGTGATCTATTAATAAGGCCACCCAGCAAGCCAATAACAGATGTTTTTCTTCTCAAGTCTAATGTCAAAACTTTGGACTTTGTTTACGTTTTCTTAATGGAAATAAATTCACAAAAATGAATTTGACAGCAAACTTGACAGCAAAATCACAGTTTGTTCTTAAAAAAAAAAACTATTTATAAGTGGGGAAAGTATGACATTTTCCACCAAAGGGTAAGGCCGGAAAAAACTATAGTTTCGGATCTCGCCACTGTCCTTATCAGTACCCTTAGGATTGTTATCTCCAAAAGTTATTTTTAGCGTCTTTTTGGAACATTCACATTATTCAACATATCTAGTGCCATTTTATAAAATCCGGGGACAAATCTCACAGCAATAATTGTCGAGAAAAATTGTCGAACAGCTGATGTTTGTTTACGTACACGTATAGGTTTACAAAATTTTATAATGGTGAAATCAGTAGCAGTTTTTCGTACAAAAACGATGTGGAATGGCAAATATATAAATATTTCGTACCGGATTTTTTATAAACCTGATTGGGAATATATTTAATTGGTTCTTAAACGGCATATACATTAGAATTTTTTACCGGGCTAACCAACTTTATGAGGATTTATTTGACATATATGCAAAGGAATTGACAATTGAAACGCACTAGGTTAACGAAACCCGGTTAAATGTAAACGTACTATAATATTTTAATTTTTTTCTTATAGTACGTTTACATTTAACGGATTTCGTTAACCCAATTGTCATTTCCTTTGCATATATTTCAAATAAATCCTCATAAAGTAGGTTAACCCGGTAAAAAGTTCTAACGTGTATGCCGTTGTATATTCAGATATTGAACGATTTGGTTTTGATTTCTTTCAAAAATATTGTTAAGTGGTATTCACTTTTTTGCGGCTTTGTGCCCTAAAACATGAGCGAATATTTAACGTAATATGTTTTGTAAAATTTTCTAGAAAACCAAGATTTGTATCAGAACATAAAATGGACATAAACCACTTTCAAAATAAATGACTCATATATGAAATTATTAAATCATTATTGAAACCAAGATCAAATGTGTTCCTCCAGTTGTATTTTATATTTTTCTAGTAATTAAACGAGCCTAATATCACCAAATACTATAATATTATCAAGAATTTTGTCATTCAACTGTCAAAATTTTGTAAAATAAATATGTCATTCATATATTTTTTAATCTCTAAACCCAAAACTAATGACTTGCATATCACAGTAATACTTCTGCTGCCTTAACTTATTTAACACGTTTTAAACGTGCCTACCACACATACATATTTCGTTGGCTAATTCTTCACCGATGTTGAGATTAGGTTTGGCGTCAAATTTTTTTATCATAAATCAATAATTATTATTGAAAAAAAAATAGCGATGAAATTATAACAATACATATCATAAACAATTGAAATATTTTCTTATATACTTGAGAACCTCTTCAATTTTTGTATGTGAAATTGAAAGCGATAAGAGGGGAAAAAAGACAGCTGTGACAGTATTGGTTATTTGACAAGTGATATATAGTTGATTACTAAGAAAAATAAACACCAGTAATGGTGTTTTAATACAATGTCTATATGAAATATTTCAACGAAATCCTAAAATAAGTAGGTCCCACATCGATTTGCAATTTTTTACAATCACTGTCAGCTGATTTTTGTTTACAAACGCGTAACTAATATATAGTATATGTATCTTCATTTTTTTACTATTAGAACTATGCGTGGAACCAATTGCTTATTTCCGTATTTAATGTCAAACTGTATCCTAGAAGCATATCAATAATTTCTGGAAAATACGGCCGATGGAAATGTCAAAGCCCTATGTACATCTAAACGGTATATTAAATGTGTCATTTAGATGACCAAATCCTGTGATGTGTGAAATAAATTACGAATTTTCGTAAAAAACACTATTTAGGCGCCAGTGTGTAGGGCGTTTAAGTTGTTAAAAATATATTTATAGTTATCTCATTGCAGAACTTAGATCATCAAGCTCGACTCGAAAGAGTATAAATAATCACTTAAAATTACTTTGAAATGATCACTGCCCTTACAAGGCAAAATTCAAATAACAAAAATTAATTTCAGCTGAGCACGGCTAGGGCTCGAAGCTATGTCCTCGGAGCAACACAAATGTTGCCAGACCACTTAACGTTCTGAGCCATCAACACACTTCCAAAACGGTTGCGCAAAAACATGTGTATACCATGGAAGAATTTGTAGGTGTGTGGATTTGAAAAGGACTGTTCCTAGAATGAAGACGAATGTCGAACTTTGACAAATTTTAATTTAATTCGCATATGTAAGTTTCGCATCAGGGCGGAATAAATACAAGTTATCAACGTACGACCTTTGTAGAGCCACATAGCCCAATATGCCTGATGAGCCGCTTAACCAACGGTGAAACGCGTCGCATAATGGTGGGTACGTAGGTTCTTCTCCTGGCTTTCCTTTTCATTGCAGAACTTATATCATCAAGCTCGACTCGAGTATAAATAATCACTTAAAAGTTATCTCACGAATCTGAATCTGCTATCCAGTTTTAAACCTAATATTATTACTTTTTAATAATCTTAGTTAGTTTTATGTCTACTATAAATATTTCAATTATATGGAACTCAAGAATTTAATTTTATTCAACCACTATTGGGGGACTTTTTCACCATTAGAAAAATCACACTCTCATTCATATGTAATTATTGAATATAAAGGGCTATGTTCGTACACATCGTAAAATAGCAAACAAAATAAGCAATATTAAATTTAGGGGATTCACATGCACGTGATATTTTTATAACATTGATAATACTAAGTGTATTGGAGCGGAAAATATCTACAGAGCAAACAGTTGTTACTTGTTTTTAGTAAAAACAAGGGTTTCGTGTACAACAAAAGCCAACAAGAATGACCAAAAAGTAGAGGATGAAAGCCGGAATGTTCATATCAAAAATTCTTATTACTACAAATGTAGATACTACAGAAATAAAATATCAAAAATGTTGTGTGAGTGATCCAGAAAAAATCCCTCTCAAAAAGGATATGCCAAATTTTGAAAGTACAATAATAATGTTTGACTGTTCACACAATTCTCACAAACTCCTAACCTGGACCAAAGATCAAGAATCCTAATTTTTGTAGAGAAAATTTAATTCTCTGGCTTTATTAAAGTACTAAATATAACTTTAACAGCAATTAGAAAATATTTTATATTTTCTAATATTTACTTTTGTTTTGTACAAAGAGTTTTCCATTTACGTCGAATTCACAGTTAATTTTCGCCAAGGATTCTTTGGACACTTTTTTCGAAATTTTGGAAATCAAAATTTCATAAAAATTTTAACTCATTTTCGATTTTAGTCCGTTCCGTTGGGCTACTTTCTCATTTTTTGGCATAAATCAAAATTTTTGAAAAGATTCCAGCTTAATCATGAAGTTGGACAAAACATTGTGCGATAAATTCGCCAATTGCGTCAATGACCTTCAAGATTATATTTCTATATTATCAATTACAAACCCGGATGACACCGTACATACGCTTGAAACTACTCGAATAAAACTGAACTCCACATGGGAACAGCCGAGACCATGTTCCGGAGAACGATGAGAAACCCATTGACAAAAACAATTTAAGGAAACACTATATGGAGGCAATGGACTAATACAAAAATTTATTTGCAAATCCAAACAACTCTGGATAACAAACATTGGAGAAAACAATAAGGAAATCAAAGAGGTCACAGCAGGGAAAGGAAATGGATTTTGCGCCAATATCTCGTCTTACATTTACATCAAGAACCTAAAATTAGGCAAAGTAGAAAAATAATTCCATCTGACACAGAAAACCATTGGAGAAGCAAGAGAAATTATTTGTAACGTTCTACTAACCAATGATGGATATGACTTAGCATGGAAACATCTCATTGATCGCTATGAGAATAAAAGTATGAAAGTCAATGAACTTTTTAACTTGTCACTTATTTTAATGGATTTAAGTCAGACTATTCAGAAACTACAACGCACGGCGAATAATTGTATCCAAATTTTGGATAATCTTGATTTTGGGATAATTTTAGAATAAGTTCAGTAAAAATAGTATTTGAAGTGAAACCCTAACATATTCTAATATTTTTTGCAAAAAAGTAAAGAACTGACTACTTGAAAATGTTCTTTAGAACCTTGAAATAGTTCAAATGTGCTTTATTGCATCATGGTCAGATCGAAGGAAGACCAGTTGTTTCTCAATTTTGATGTCATAATCCATTATTGTGAATTGTTTCAAATTTTGAAATTGACAAGAGAAATTGAGCGGTTTTTTCTCAAGTCTAGTGATAAAAATTTGAACTTTGTTTCCGTTTTTATAATAGAAGTCAATTCACAATAATGGATTTTGATAGCAAACTTGAGAGACAGCTGGTCTCCCCGGATGACCTTATTTATAGGTCTTGTATACAACTTTTGAGGTGCACATACGCATGAATTTAGGTACGGGTCATGATACAACAATAAGGTGACGTATCACAAGAAAAACCTTTGTTTTTGTCTTGGCCATCTGTCAAATTTTTCCTTGTAATATTTCACATGGTTGGCAACATTGCACATCGAATTCAAGTAGAAATTACGAAATGGACTACCTATTTATTGTGCCATAGTACTGACCTTAAATGACATATGAAGGCATATTAATATGGCCAAGGCCCGATTGTTTTTCAAGGTCTTTTTTATAAGGTCTTTTTTATAAGGACATTGTTGAATGTCATTTACGTTCTCATAAAGTGAAGTCAATTCACAATAACAGATTTTGGTCAGCTGATCTTCATGGGTGACCATATTAATAGAATTTAATTTTAATAACAAGCAAATTATACGTCAACAAAAAATAATTTTATTTGATATTTGTCTTTAAAATATCCAACAAAAGGGCCGTTTAGATTTTGAAATCGAATGGATTTAGTAGTCTAAACGCGCTCTAATAGTGAGCAGCATTTATTGTACTCAAAATTGGATTAAAGCCTTTATGTAAAAATTCTAAATAATTGTTCTATACCGGAACCTGCAAACAATTTCAATTATTGAAATTGCTTTCGATTTTCTATTTATAAATTTTAAAATTATTAAAATTTTTTGAGCACAGGAACCGACTAAAAGCCTAGCGCAATTAGTTAGACTTTCACGAGGTATTTCAATATTCGCATATTCAAAATGTCAAACATACCTTGCATGAAAATCATTGATGTGAATTATAGATAAAGGAAATAATTCATTTCGATTCACCTGGGCTTTACTCAGGCCCACGACAGCCAACAAGAAGAGTGAGGAAAACACAGAACAGCTATTACGATAAATCATTTTTACAAAACCGTTATTCTTCTATTCTTCCTCTTAACAATAATTAATACGACTAATAGCTGGCGTTACATATAAACGATTTTATTAATTAGAATACGGCAAGGCATTAATTTGTATAATTATTAATCAACTTTTAGTTTCACTCCACTCCACACACAATGACACTTGTTAGCCAAACTCTATGGCTAATAAAATGACACAACGCTACGTTCTTTTTTTCAAACGTTCCGTGCTGTTAGTTGTCCGTCAGAGTTGTTTAGCCAAACCGTCGAGCTGAAAACTGAAACTCATTAACAAACTTACGTCGGATGTTTTGCTTCGGTTTCCTTCGTCTTACCCCTCAATAAAGTTTAACGTTAATTCACGCTACAAATTACCGGAGCATTTTGTATTACGAAGTGCTTAACAAAGTTTTGCTCCGATTCGGTGTTGTTGTTATTATTATTGTTGATTTTGACTTGAATTTATAGAATATTTTATTGGTATCATGATATCAACGCTTTGCTTTTGATAAGAAATCTCAATTAGAATGAAATGTTCTGGGGTATATACTCAGTCGTATATATTCGCAATAGAACTGTAAATTTATTGACAACTAATCCGCAACGAGGGAGATTTTCTTCGGCTAAGCGGGAAAAGGGCCTTGAAACAATGTGATTCTCTTTATTACAAAGAACATCATCAAAGAACATCATCAAAAAATAAAATTAAATCAAGAATGGGGCGAAAGGATATTTGTATGTGTTCCTTCAAGGAAGCTTCGAAACAAATACACATCTTCTTGGTCGCTTTAAGTTATATCGGGCGCCACTTTTTATACCATTCATTCTGAGGTGGGAATTCAGAAAAACAGCGGTATGGGTTCCTTTAGGGAACTTTTTTTTTGAAAATCGCCTATTTTTGACCACAAACTATGTTAAAAACTAAGGAAGATCTTCACCGATTTATACGATAGCTATACACTCACAGAGAAACGTCCCAAAATTTGAAGTCGATTGGGTTATTAGTTTTTGAGTTATTGTGCCCGCCATTCGCAAAAACGTGGTTTGGAGAAAAACGCGTTTAAAGTTTGAGAAGCCCTCTTGCTGTCACTTGATGCTAACACAATAAATCGGCTATATCTTCAAAAAGTCAAGAATGCGTAATTTTCGAATTGATTAATGGGAATAGCTATCTTGTCAAAAACCTAATGGTTTTGGGTGGGTTTCCGACGTTTCTGACGTATGTATTATACGTCGGAAATGTATGCCATTTATGTCTCTGTTTCTGTCGGACCATCTCTGCTTGTTAGCTTACATTTCAATTGGGCGCCACTTTTTGGCTCATAATGAGTTGGGAATTCAAAAAAAAACATCGAATCAAATACACATCATCTTGCACGCATTAAGAAGTTCGAGAAGAAATTGAGCGAAGTACTGACAAGAAAAAATCTTTAAGTTCAATCGGACGGAGGGCATAAAAAGCCATTCATTATAACGAAAGGATTCAAAAACAGCTTCGATTCAAATACTGTTTTTTAAGTTTTAAGATGGAGATGAAGTATTGACAGGAAATCTCTGAACCCAGATTTCTTCTAATTTATCATCCCGCTACAGAAAAATCCTTTAATTTTTATAGGGCGCCACTTTTTATACATGAAGTTGGGAGAAGTACAGACAGGAAAACTATGAACGTAGGTTAATTCTAATGTATCTTGAGAAAACATCTCTAAGTTCAATCGGGCGCCACTTTTTACAACCTCCATCATGAGGTTGGAATTCCGAAAGGGAAACTCTCTCCATTATACGCTTTGCGATTCAAAATTCATGGAACAAACCAAAATATCTGGTGCTTGGAATTTCAGTCTGGTACTGAGGGATTTCAATGCACACCATAAATTGTGACTTTTCGTCCTACGTAAGGACCAGTCCTGGCAATGCAAATTGATAGGTCAAAGTTTTGCATGATGAATGAGGATGTCGGCACCAGAGAGTTTCACAGTTCGCCAAAAATAGCCATCATTATTTCGTAGCTGGCTGGCTTGAGACAGAACATTTGTTCCATAAGCCGAGCTTAGGAAAGATTTACAGGCGCGTTGATCTTGTGTGCAGCTCTTCCCACTTGAAATACCATATTTCGATATGTTGCCTTCCATTTAATCTTTCCATCTTCCATTTAATCTTTCCCCTTCCCCCATGCTTCAGATCCATACAACCACCTTCCCATAATTGTCTCCATCAGCAGACCACCTGATTTCATCACCTCTGAACGCCTTAAAGCAAACTTCTGAGAACTTCCCATTCCTTCTGATGTAGTAGTTCATTGGTTTATTAATTCGGACAATGAACGGAAAAATTCTAGTAGATCAAGGGTCACTAGGCGATAGTCCAAACGTTTTTGTTTTGATACATCACCTTATTATTATTGCATCATGAACCAGATCGTTCCGAAAAGAATCAACTCTCAACAATGTTCTCAAGTCCTTTGCCGAAAGGAAGACCTTTTAATAAGGTCATCCAGGAAGACCAGTTGGATATTAGGCGTTTCTCAAGATTTCTGTCAAAATCCATTATTGTGAATTGACTTCCATTATCGAAAGGTAAACTTGAGAAAAACAGTTGATATATAGGGATACTTTTTTGGCTTGTAACATTTGTTTTTCTCCCGACCATCTGTAAAATTTTATATAGTAATATTTCTCATAGTTGGCAACAAACAAATCGAATTCAATTAGAAACTACGCACTTTGACAGTTAATTGTCAGATGTTTTTTTCTAAAGTCTAATGTCAAAAGATAGAACTTTGTTTACGTTTTCATAATGGAAGTCAATTCACAATGGATTTTGATGTCTCGATTAACTGTCAAAGTGGGTAATTTCTATTTGAATTCGATGTGTAGTGTTGCCAAACATATGAAATATTATAAGGAAAAATTTGACAAATAATCCAGGCAAAAATAAAGATTTTTGTCTTGATACATCACCTTATTATTGCATCATGCCCTCACATGATCCCTCATCTGCATGAACTAGAGGGGGGGAGGTCCAACGATATAACAGGAAGCCCCTAGATCAAGAACCTTATCGAGCAGGTTACACTGATGCAGTTATCAAATGGTTAAATGAATACAGATCGATGCCAGCCTCATAGTTCTCTCCCCCAACCATCTCAGCTGCTTAGACAAACCAGATTAATTTTGTCTCACCTACGTTCAGTGTGGTGTAATCGCCACCATTTATATAGAGCACGGATTGTTGACAATGTGAAGAATGTCAGCCCAGCATTTATTCAATTATCAGGCTTACTCAGCTTGTCCAGTAGTAATCTGTGGTTCCTGGGACCAAATCGAAAATTCTGCGTGTCAAGTTGGTTTTAAACCGGACATAGATGTAGTTCCCATAATTTGATTCCCAAAAATACCTCTTGCATATTCTCAAAAAGAAAGTATCAAATCCGGACGCATTGCTTTAATATTTCATCAATTCACACTTTGGAACCTAACCTATGATATATCCCATTAAATAACAATTAAATTTAAAAATCATCCTTTAATTTATACTTGTAAATATATTTATAATTTTTTTAGTTAAGTTTAATTATATTTTACATCATAACACATATATAGTGTGATTCTTCTTAGATATTTTGCACATTACAATTGGATTTATGTTTATATTCTTCTTCTTTTACGTTTTTATTATAAATTTTACAACAAATTTATTTGTTTTGATACCAATTCAATATTTAGTTCACTTAAAATGTTCATATAATAATATTTATAGGTTATGTGGATGTTCAAAAAGCTGTAAAGGGTTGTTAGGAAGGTTAGGAAATTCAAGTGGTTAAATGTGGAAAAATTTTAAGGACCTCCGATTTATACAAACAATGGCATGAAATATATAAGAATAATGGGAAAGGAAATTGAAAACGAAAACCTATTCAAAACTTTTTAATTTATGAAGAAAAAAAAACAATGGAAAACAATTTCGATAAATAGAATAGTTTTTTTTTCAAATGTATAAAGGGGAAAATTCAAAGGAAAACTATTTCATTAATAGAAATAGTTGTTTATTCCTATGTCAGTTGTAATATTTTTATAAAAAATGTATTGAGAGAATTACCTTATATTACAATAGGTTTCATTAATTTCGTTCAGTATTATTAGTCCAATTCTCCTTCTTCTTTATACATTTTAGACCTTTGTTGTTTTAATATAAAATTTTCAATCCAATTATTTTCATAAGTAATTTAATTTTTAATTCTGTAATTCGGTAAAAAATATTTATTTATTTAAAAAAAGTTTTTGTAAAAAACTAAAAAACAAATAAAAATACTTTAATTTGATTTTACTAAATTAAAAGCTAAATGTTGATTATAATCAAGACTAATATATCATAGTGCATATAAATACATACAAACATACATTATAAATCTATGAATATAATAAAAAAATAAGTATTATTACTAAATTGCAATTAGTGGGCTTTATTCTAATTATTTTCAAGTAAAAAGTTAAATAAAAAAATCTTTATAAAAAAACACAATAGCAACAAGGGCCATTTAAAGTATTAGTTGTTGTAAATTCTTTAAACATTTGATCCTTTTCTAATAAACAATGAAAAAGTAAAACTTAATACGAAAAAACAGACAGAAGCGGCAACTGACGAATCGACATGATGAATCGGAAAAAACAAATGCGAACAGCAGACGCATGACCAGAAGGGTACATCTTCCTTCCACATTTTAGGTCAAGCGGTGAAGGTGAGGTCTTCAAAAGAGCAAACGAATGTCAAACCCGCAAAGAAGAAAAAGAGCTCACCGTCGGAGGGGGGACGCTGAGTCAACCCAAAATTAAAGGTGACGGGTGACCTGTTGATAAACTTTTTGGTTTGGCGAACTGATAGCTGATGTTTTCTTATTAATATTAAGGCCAAATGTACAAGTAAATCATTGATCAAACAATAGGATAAATTTTGAAAAAAATGGGTACTTATGAAATATCGATTTTTAAAAAGATTCGAAGTTAATGGGTCCATATTATATGTATGTAGTTGGAAAACTATAAGTAGTAGTTGATCAATGATTTATTCGTTCATTCGCCTAAATTTTGGAATTGGGAAAATCAAATGCCCTTTTCGAAAAAGAATTTATGTGAATTCCACAACCATTCTTCTAGGAAGAGGGAATTCAGAACAATATTATAAGTAGTCGAATTTTTGAAATCACTGTCCTTTTTTCCAAAAGTGTAAAAAACATGAAATTACATTGAACCGTGTAAAGGTGTCTTTGCCTTGAAAACCTTTTAGTTCCAGAGTCATTTTATTACTCGTTACAAAAGTCCTTGTTCGAGCTCTAAGCTCCCATTCAGAAACTAAAAGATATTCAAGGCAAAGGCAACAATCAAATCAGCACCGCTGGACAACAAAGAGAATTTCATTTGCTTTTTGGGGGTTACAGTAGCGAATGGTGAGGAATATCTTCTGGAAAAATTATGCAAATATCATTCTGATACTATTCTGGAGGAATACAAGAAGGCTAAACTCTAGCATAGATATCTCTTTTCAACGTTCTCTGAGTGCTCTGATAGTGAACGTCAATCCTGAACAGAGCAAGAAACCAAAATTCCAAAAAAATCCGAGAAGCAACCATTTAGCAAGGATAATATAATAAAAAAAATCATAAAATTTGTGAAGGAGTTCGGCACTCGCAACATAATTTTGATTTGGACGGCCAAAAATTTCGGATTTTCTTTGCCGGTAAAGAAGAAGAATGTTGTATGAACGACAAGCCCATAATCATAAAATACCCACTATATAAAAATTACATGAGCTTTGTTCCATCTATTTCCGAAGGCCGAGTGACGGCTCTCGAGATTGAGAAATAAATCATTCTTCTACATCGATGTCAAATAAAAGCTTTAATATAATCAAAGGTAATTCAGGAGAGTCCTGCAAGGGCAAACTGAAGCGAATAAGAAGAAGAGGTGCCACCAACCTCCCTACATTAGATGTAAATAGCGCCAAACCTTTTTTTAGTGCAACTCGTCTAGAACTGAGGTCATGGTCAACGGAAACCCACACAATTCTTTGGAATTGTTAATGTTAATCTCACAGGACACAACAGCCAGCGGTCCCACTTACACAAGATTGTATGAGGGGGAAGCAACTGGGGTGTAGAGCGTGTAGAGAAGACAGCGAAATGTTGTTGTTTTCAAGTTTTCGGACCCAATTCATTGGAAATCACTCTCTTTGGCGAAAAAGACGACCTAAGGGGTGTGAATGGAAAAGACTGAAGGACTCTGTGAATAAAACAGAATTCCTACAAGTTTAGGGAAACCACACCTAAAGCTGACTTCTTCTAACCTATTTCCTTTTCTAGAGCTCACAATAGGCCACTCTCAGGCTTAGTTATATGTCCTTCTATTGGACATGTGATGGTGTAAAATATCCCTCTCGACCTAACCATAAAGTACTTAAAATTTTATTCATTTTTATACTGACACTATTTCAAAAGATGTACCAATAGTTCCACAAAAATGTTCTGTGGGAAATCTTTCGTTTTTCATTCTCTGCGAAAATGCGATGTTCGAAATTATCGAACACCTTTTAAATATCTAAAATGAGAATCCAAAATCCCAAATAACACTCACTACCGAAATTTTGATTATACTGTTATACGGAGGACATTCTAAAAGTTAAACCTATATATCAGGTATAAAGAACCTGATCCCAACTATTTTCCAACATAGTTCTATGATTTGAATGTCCTCCTTATAATGACGCTCACCGATTTTAAGTATTTTAAAGATCCTAAAATTGTGTTCTTGTAGATAATAAATATCCACAAATATTTTTAAATTCAGGTCCAAATTTTGACATAACAGCCCATTAAACAGAACCGAGCGACTTTAGTATAAGCTACACTCATTTGGGTTGTTATATATTATTTAAAAATGGGTTGTAATATTGGTTCAGATGTGCTCACAACAATTGTTCATCCCAGGTTCACACTTTGTCATATTCTCCATTAAACAAAACTTCCCAAATTTTAATATTTTGAAGATCACGAAAAATGTATAGATCTATGTTTTTGCATGCCCTCATAAAATCTAATAGCCGCGTTTTCCAAAGTCCCTGTCCACACTAAAGTAGGCTTTATTAGATCGAATTCCCCACTACAAAAAAAATGTTCAACTGAGGAACTCGGTCTAAGAGGTCATAATTTCTTTAATTTATTTCATGAATCACTTTAGTGTGGCCTTCACAAAATATTGACATTTCGTAGATTTAAATGAAGTGAAAAGAATTCCACATTTCAGCTCTTTAATTGGAATATACGAGGGCAGTTCACAAACATATTGACAGTTCAAAATTTTACTCAAAAAAAAGTTGAGTGTTTTAATTATCTCTATATGAACGCATATTAAATTTTGTTTCGATCTGGCACAATTAAATTTTGCTTGGCGCGGTATAAACAGAAAAAAAAGTTAAGTGTTTTGAAAACTTCCATCTCTGTTATGTACACATGTTAAATTTTGTTTCGATCTCCCAACTCCTTCATATAGAAAAAAACAGATATGGAAGTTTTCAAAACACATAACCTTTTTGTGCTAGTCTAACACTTTCTGAACTGTCTTCGTGTAGACCTAAAACCTTTTTTTTTAAATTATTTTTTTTTTTATAAAAATAATTTCATCATAATCTCTCTCTCTCTCTCTTTTTATAAAATATAAATTCCAAATTTGTTTTGTAATTCATAGTATATAGACTCTATTTAGAACGTTTATTTTTCACCTATTAATATCGATCAAAATAAAAATCCAATATAACTCATCTATCAATCGCTTTCTTGTTTTAAAAACTTGTTGCACTGTATTTTTTTATGACAAATTTCAAACAAAGGAAGAAAAAAAAAATATAGTATATTCCAAATCATAAAAAATATATATCTCTAAATATATTAAACAAATCAAAATAAAATTTTGAAAACAAATTTCAAAGTAATGTTTTTTTTTTTTCGAAAAAATAAAATTAATAATAAAAAATAAAATAGGAAAACAAAATATATAAAGAGCATATAGAGAAAAAGAAACAAAAAATATAATATAGTCTTTCAAATCAAAAAATAAAGTAATTTTACAAATATATATAGCGCTAGGTGTGTGTATATATCAAGTCATTATTTTAAGCAGGCTTATATAGAATAAAACAAATATATTTTTGGTGATTTGCATTAAAGTTAGGATGTGTGGCATGGTTGGTTGGTTGTTTTGTGTTGTATGGGCGGCTTATGATGAGAAACAATGATGATGATAATGATGTGAAAACGTTGGTTTTTTTTCAATTTTTGTTTTATGTTTTTATATATTATGATAAGCACAACTACTTAAAATTTAAATATTTATATAATTCTTATGGTCATATTTTCTAGTATGTATTATTATAATTATATCCATTAATAATTGCCATTCTAAGTTTTTTGTTTTTGTTTTTTTTTCATTTTCATAATTCTTTAACTTAAACTAAAAATTTGTTGTGTTCTATGTTTTTAGTGTTTATCTAATATTGGTAAATAAATTTAAAACAGATTTATTTTCCTTTTGACTTCTAGCTTTGCTGAACACATTCCAGAAACGCAATGTCTCATCACCGGCCCCAGTTACAATGGCCTCACCATCAGGACTGAGAGCCAAGTATAGAACACGATATGAATGCCCTGTCAGCTTGGCCACTTGTGTCAACGATGGATATTTCCAGACCAAAATTTGATTTTGTGAATAACCATGGGTGGACACCAGCTCCGAAGAATGTTTCGACCATGCCAAATTGCATACTTGTGATCCCGTATCAACACATTGCATTGGCTGACCCGTTAGGGTATTCCAAAAGCGAATGCAACGATCCGCCGTACCACCACCACTAGCCAAAAGGCCATGATGATGTGGTGACCAAGCAATGGCCTTAACGGCAGCCATATGTTCGGTATAGGATTGCACAGGATTGAGAGAATGTTGATTCCAGACATAGAGACGATTGTCATTGCCGCCACTGGCCAAGTATTGATTGTCCGGTGACCATTTGAGACCGCATACCTCTTGACGATGTCCGACCAAACGACGTTCTGATTGTTGGGCTGGTGTTCGGGTATCTCGTTGAATGATAAGGCGATCACGTGAGCCGGATGATAAAATATCACCATTCCAGGCTAAGGCACCAACCCGGGCAGAGTGACCATTTAATTTGTTGATCTGGAAAGAGAGAGGGATGGAAAAAAAGATGGTAAATAAAATGGGAAAAAAATCTTTGCTTACAAATAAGAAAAATTATCAACATTATTAAAAAGTGTAGCATACTTTTAGGCTCATGAAAAAGAATTGTTTTTAAAGAACGACGTTGCCATATTAGACTTTTTTGGACAAAGCAAGGTAAGAATACCAAAATTAAATGAACTCAATGGCCAATTATGACCACCAAAATAAAAACACCCAGAAGAAAATTCGATATTTTCATGGGGTCTATATCTAAACGTTAACGGTTATGCGGTTAAATTTTATAAGGGAATTTCAAATCTTTAGGAATTCAAAAGTTATCCTTCTAATGGTCTGTTGTTGTAGGGAATTTTATTGGGTATTTCAGAGATGGAAGACCAAAAAAAAAATTTTTTTTTGTTTTGAAAAAAAAAAGAAACGATACCCGCCTACCATTCTCCAATATACAAAAGACTCCAATATATACAGACAATTTTCTAAAATTCGTCTAAAGAATGAAGGGCATAATTAGGATTGCTTTGGACCGTTAAGAGGCCTTCTAAAGACCTGTTGTAGAAATTTTTGCAAAGGTCTTTCAGAGAACGGTTATGCGGTTAAATTTTATAAGGAAAATTCCAATCTTCAGGAATCTAAAAGATAACCCATTCACGGTCCGTTATAGGAAACTTTTTGGAAAAAAAAAATCCGAAACCCGCTTACTATCCTCCTATATACAAAAGACCTATCAAAAGACTTCAATATAGACAGGCAATGTTCTACAATTCTTCTATAGAATAATAAGGTTTGCTTTGGACAGTCTTAAGAGATCTTCTAAAGGTCTGTTTTTGTAGAAAATTGTATAAAGATCTTTCAGAGATAGAAGAACTAGAACAACAGAAGTTTTTTTCCGAAAAGATTGGAAATTTTCTACAGTCTTTTTAAAAAGGCAGCCAGAAGACAGAAAAATCTTCTATAGAATGAAAGCCATAATTAGGTTCTCTCTAGGCCGTCTTTCTTTCCTTGTTAATAACTTTTCACATTAAAGGATATATTCGTCTTTCTTGATTTTAATTTTAAATCCCTTGATATGTGAATAAATCTTAAAAAATAAAAATAATTCATTTCAAACATACCTGTTTACTAGCTGCTACATCCCATACGGTAACATAACCATGATGGGTACCTACGGCAACTAAATTGCCACGTTCATTCCATGATACCGATGTGACGGTATTGGCATCGGGGCTAAGGTCACACAAACGTGTTACCTAAAAAATATGAAAAGTATAAATTAAAAAATGTATTTAAAGAATAAATAGACTATAGAAACATAAACAAAATCAACTACTTAAGCAAGTCAATAAAATCCAAACATATTTAACCTTCAAATATTTAGCTTTTTTGCAACTAATATTTAAGTAGTTAATTAGTTAAGAAAAAAAATTTGCAGAAAAAAACAATTCAACTTACTTGACTTGTACAGGCACTCCATAGGTAAACACAACTACCTAAACCAACAGCCAATACGTTTTGTGATGACCAATCGACTAAATTTAAATAGAAATCATCTTGTAATTCAGGGGCATCTAAGACCTAAGTGAAAAGAAAATAAATTAACAAATATTAGTTATTGTTAAAATTAAGTATTTTGAACAATAAAACTTACTTTAAAGGGAATGCGTGATATTTTTCTTGTGGCCTTTCTGGGCGATCTCAACAGCTTTTGACTTTTCGTACTGACGGGCGATAATGAATAGGGGCATTGTTCATTGAAATCCTAAAAAAAAGAGAAAGGAAAATTTGTTATTAGTAAAAGAATGTTAGGTTAGATCATTTTTTTAAATATATTTCAAATTTTTTGAGACATGACTGTGTTATATTTTGGTAGCGGTTCTTCATCAATTCATTTCATAATTTATCGGACAAACCAACAAAAAAAATATTTGTTTAAATGCCATACAACAGTTGCTTAATTAACATGGCAATGTGAAAAACGTTTCCAAAGGGGGTGGAGACATACAAGAAGGGAATACTTTGTTTTTTTGGGAATACAATATTTTTTAGGGGGAATAATAAAAAATATCCTATAACATACAAAAAAATCATGTGAAATTATAAATTATGTCAATCAGCTGTTAATCTTTATTATATTACAATATGTGATCCATCCTTATTAATCATCTCCTTAAAAAATATATCAGCTGTTTCTCCTCTTTGTTCTGTACAGTGTGAGCCCTACATATATGTTAACTGTAATAACGGCCAATTTCGTTTCAGAGTTAGTATTGGCAACTCTTTTATCAGACAATGAAAATTCAAATGCATGGAAAATGTATGTTATCAATAAGAGCCCCCTCAATAAGACCAAAACAATTCTATTATTTGCAAATTTTTTCACGCAAGTAATTGAATAAAATAACAATAAACGTAAATTGAATAAATCAGCTGTTTCTCAACATCGCATTGCTGTGTGTGAACTCTGCGTACATGTTAACTGTAATAACGGCCAATTTATGACATTTCCACCAAAAGTTTATATTGAAATGTCGTTTAAATGACAATGAAAATTCAAATGCAAGAATAATTGATGTTAACGATAAGAGATGGGAGCAGTGAGATAATTTTCCATACATTTTCATCTCTCTTAGCAATAAAATTCGATATTCCTTTGTGTAACCTTGTAAATAATTAATTAATTAATTAATTAATTCAAATGATTCATAATAAGGTAACATTTTTCTATGTCTTTTTTCCAAAATAAAGAAATTATTACTTTGTCCTTCCCTTAGCCTTCAAATTCACTTGTTTGATTACAAGTTTACACAATCGATATCCCATAAAAATGATACCTAATTTAAATAAACTACCTGTGATACAAAAATTTATTATTCATAAAAAGGGTTCCCCAACAAATTCAATAGGGGATACCACCATAAACCATAATGGGCCATAAAACACTTTAGTTTAACACCAAATAAAAAAACGACGATGATGATGACGACTCCAACTCAAACATGTTTGCCGCACCGGGGCTTAATAAAAGTCTCGTTTATTAAGCACCGCCCACTTTCAATGATAATTCCCCCTCAATGGGAAAAAAAGCATGCCATCCATCCAACAAATAATTTCGAACACAAAACCGAAAAAAGCCATAAAAACCCATCAGACAATTTCAAAACAAAATAAAAAAATAAATGAAAACGTGTTATTGGCCAACCAAGCATCGTCTGAACGCAACAAATGAAACGTGCAACCAACGAAAATATTTCGTATTTCGAGAGCAAGTGAGCGTTCTATCCAGAAGGAAGGTTCCCCTTTTTTTCAATTTTGGTTGTTTTTTTTTTTCAATTTGCTCCCCCAACAGCGTCTTGTTTGTCTGCCTCTTGATTTATTTATGGCTTGATTTGTGAGTGGGGGGTTCTAGGCAGCCAAACTTCGAATAGTGTTGGGAGCTATTGCTTGTCATATTAACAATTTTAAATCTAAATCAATTGGAGTGTTTTTTATTTCATTATTTATAATTAGAAATGAAATAGATTTGATTAATCCTCCTCGATAAATTACAAAGGACCCAAAAAGAAAATGTTCTATTTTTTCAAAAAATCACATATTAGATTTCCTCCAGAAGAAATTTATAATTTATAAATTATACACAATTCATAAAAAGTTGACAATGGGGAGCTTTCCTGAACATATTTTCCATAATCATTAGATAGAAAACCCGCCCTAATTAATTAATTTTATTCAGATGTTACGAACTATTCTAAAAATGAAACATTTTTTGTAGATTATTTCCAATTTCTTTAACATCTTGGTATCCAAAAATAGTTAGGGATTTTGATTTATTTTCTATTATTTTATTTTTCTTATCTCCTCTTCCTCTTATTTTTATAAAAATGAAGGTTCGAAATTGGATTTCCCACAACCTTTTGACCAACACCATTCCATTCTGTATTGCTTTGCGGTTAGCTAAGGAACGAACATTAAGATGAGAAAAATAATTCAATGGTAATTTGGTGAGAACGTGTAAAGCCACAAGAGTTCCTACTTTGTTTGCTAGGGAAACTAGAATCATAGTTCCTTAGAGTCTACCACAATTTCCTGTGGTACATGCAAAATGGAAACAAGCACATAGAATAAATGTGGAAAGATGATGAATAAATAATGAAAATAATGAAACCTAGTTAGGTAATTGAACAATTATTGCCGAATTTTGAAATGATTTCTACTGCAGAGAATTTATTACAGTGGAAATATTTATTTAGAAAATAAAATACGCCAGATGTAATCAAAAATTTGAAAATAATATATTAATTTAGGGCTTAATAGCCAAGCTTACACCCGTACGAAAAAGCTAACATTAAAATATGTTACAAAAAACATATGTAAAACATCACGATAAATGATAACATAATGTAAATCAGCTGTTATTCCTTATAATATTACAATATGTGAACCACCTTCCATATTCATTGTAAGTGTAATCTCGTCTAATTTATTGCTAATCAGGTTTAATTATTTTTTTCAGATGCTGTATGTTGAATAGAAGAAATGGATAGGGTATTTAAAATACCTACACATAAAGAGAAGATAAATTAATAAATGATGATAAACACAGCTGTTTTTCATAGTTCACTCGGCTAATATTTTTAGTATTTTTCTCAAAAATAATTGTAGAAAATAACAATAAACTGGAATTAATCTATCTGTATGCTAAAAGAAATAAATCAGCTGTTTGGCACCTTTATATTGTACAGTGTGAACCCTACATACATAACAACTGTAATAACGGCCAATTTGTGACGGCTAAATAAATAATGGTTATTTTCTAACATTATTGTTGATGATTTCAATGTTCTTTTTAAGGAAAGAGAATGAGGAAAAACAGCTGATTGGTATTAAATGTAAATATTAATCCATTTCAATGAGAATACTATTCTTTTAGACTTTTCATTTAGAAAATCAAAAAATGTTAATCACAAAATGTGAATATTTTTTAAAATGAAAAGCGTTTCAATGAGACTTCAAAAACAAGAGCGATATTACACTGCTCACATATGAATATTTACACTGTACAGTATAATAAATCACGTATATAATGAGGGGAAACAGCTGATTAATATTAATTATAAATATTAAAAAATTTAAACGAAAAATTAAGTAAAATCTAAAAGAAATTGCTTCTCTAAACAAAAAATGCAGGTCTTTCGAACACATAATGTGAAAACTTCTTAAAATAAATGGCATTTCAATAAGACATCAATAATATGAGCAATATTACACGGACCGCATGTGAGTATTTACACTGTACAGTACAATAAACAGTGTAAATAATGCGGAGAAACAGTTGATTGGTATTAAATGTAAATATTTACCGATTTTAAAAAGAAATTTGTCTTACAAAGCTACAAAAAATTCCCTTTTTTACAATAAAAAATATTTTTTTTTATTTAGACGTAATTATGTAAATAAAAACTGTTCTTTTGATCACAAAATGTGAACATTTCTTATATTGAAAGGCATTTCAATAACATCAATCAATAATATGAGCGATATTACACTGATCACATATGAGTATTTACATTGTACAGTACAATACAATAAATAAGAAGAAAAAACAGCTGATTGGTATTAAACTGAAATATAGAGACATTTTAGTGAATGTTAGGTCTTATATAGTCAATTTTTTATTATATTTTATTCCAAAGTCAGCTCATTACAAAAAAATGCAATTTTTAAGCTTATAAAGTAAAAGACACAAGAATAATGTAAATAATAATAGGTATTTCGATCACAAAATGTGAAAATTGCTCAAAAAGAAAAATATTTTAAGGGGTTGATGAGAATTTCTATAATTGAGTTTTTAAAATGTGTGTTATTTCCTAAATATGCATTTTTTTAAACTATGGTCGTATCCCTTAAAAATAGGCCAGCATAAATGTAACTTGTTCCACATTCAAAATATATTTCTAATCCTCTCTTTAAGTATCCAAATATGCCACGATCTTTTGTGGCTTTTTCAATGTTCCAAAACAATCATTTGTCAGACTTAGTGTGGGGTAAATACCAAGCATCATGTTATTGTTAACGGTTAAACATTTGTTGAACAATTTTGTTTTTATTTTCAAAAATTATTTAAACTCACGTAGGTAGTGCACCGTTTTGACGGGCTTTCTTTTGTCGTCGTAGTTAATGAGGCAAAAAATCGTTAACCTTTGTTTTTAAATCTTTTTTTAATTGTCAAAACATGTCGCGAACACAAGCGATATATGTTCTAAAAGAAATTGGACATTTATTTGGACATTTAAAGTCATAATGTTTTGTAAATGTATTTAGATTTATCTTATTTTACTCTTTCTGGAGAGGGAAAGGAAATTGTGGATAAGGTAAATGGTAGGGGGACTAAAGCAAAAATATGTTAACTCATCATGTTAACACATATCAAAAACAAAAATAATGACTTGACATGATTATGTCATGGTGAATGACATTTGTGACATTTGCTTTTTTTTTTGAAAGCTCAGAAAATTTACTTCCGCCTTAAAGACAATGCGCTCATGAAGAAACATGAAATGGTGACAATGGAAAATAAAGTGGCATTACAAAAATATTTCGTTGAGCAAGGTTTGAACGGCAATATTATGCAAGGTTAAGCATATTTCGTTAAAAATCGTAAAAAAATCTATGTGGAAAATCATTTCAAGACTTTGTTAATACATAAAAAATATCCCACTAGATCATGAAGTGATATGATTAATTGTACCAAAAGTAATTCAT